ATATAGAAGCCTGAATACTTACCAATACGATTCCTTAGGGCCCTTTACTATGCTAATACAACAAGATGCCCCAGAAGCCGATTCGGTAGGAGGGGCAGAAAGTGTTTGGCTTTCAGCACGAGGCTCGGGACTCAGGACTTGCCTTGCGCTGTTTAAACATTCGTCTTCCTAGCCTAGCGGGCTAAAGCAGTTTGGGTTTGGGATGTAGTGGATTAGGAGTTACGGTCAATTTTGGGGTTTGGGGTTTAGGAATTGAGGTTCATTTAGGGTTGAGGATTAAGGATTTAGTCCTGAGTTGCTTAGGTGTTACTGTCGCGTTTTTCCCACATTGAGGCGCCGACTGCACGACATCAAATTCGTTCTTTGGATCTCCTGTAGGCGACCACCCGGAACCCGAGGATGTGAGCTTGAAAGGTTTGCCCGAAACTTTGGAACCTGCATTAAACCCTAGTAAGCTCTACAGCCCTGCATCCTTGCATCCCTGACACTTAGTGCGTTGCAGCCCTGGCTCGGCTTCACGAGTCGGGCCGGGGTGAACTGGGGGCTTAGTTTTCACTCCAACCTGGCAGCCTCAAGAAAGCAACCGGAAGCCCCCCGAATCGAAGCGGAGCAGACCTGTCCTAGCCCTCCCTGACTGGGGAGAGTTGAAAATCTGAAAACATGCTTTGCCCCGACTCGTGAAGCCGAGCCAAGGCTACAACGCACCAGGGCTGCAGAGCTTCGGGCTTAGTGCAGGCTCCAAAACTCAGGGCAGTCAAGATTTGAGACGGATTCGGAAGGCTGCAGGTACCTGTAGGCTTGCAACGATCTGGGCTTAGGCCGAGGTCGCTGCCTGCGACATTGAAGCGCTTGATGCGCGTGAAAGGCTTCGCCTTTGTCAAAACTCGGATCCCCCTCTCATCCCTCATCCCTTCCTTTAGCGTAAAAGCGTCATGGAAGATGCGGGGAATCCTTTTGGGTATGTCAAAGGCCCTGGTCTGCACGAAACCTTCAAAACTCTGTGAAGTGGCCGCTGTATAACCCCGCTGCTCGTGCGCTCAAAACACATGCGTCCTTCTCCTTCATAAACACACACATACACTCCTGGAATTCATCACCCTGTGCTACAAAGGATTCAAGCAAAAATCCGCCTGTGAAGCCGTGCGGCTACACCTAAACTTGCGCTGGACGCTCTGCAGCACTCATTCAATATGGGAGCCCTGGTGCCAGTTGTGGCGGAGGCAGCGCCCCTCCGCAGCGATCGCAAGGGGGCGTAGAACAGTGGCATGGAGGAAGCCCGCACCTTGAGGAGCTCTGGTTCGATCTAGGAGTTCGAGTTTAAGCACAGGGCTGTTAGAGGGCATGCCCGGACATCTGCCCGAAGAGATCATGCAGAGACAAAAAACCGAATTGGATACAGCAGGGATCTGACATCCATAAACAGACGGAAAGAATACTTTGAGCCCATGTGGTGTTGAAAAGGAGCATCGTTGAGAAAGCTCATATAAGCAACGAAAACTGAATCTTAGTGGCTCAACCCGAAACCCTAACCTCTTGACCCTAAACTCGTTAAGGTTTACAGAGTCTGCAGTCTGTGGATTGCCGGGCCAGCAATTGCAAGCAGAAAAGTTACGGGTTGTTGAGGTCTGACTGTGTTCCATCCTGGCCCTGACAGCCGAATCAAAAGCCACCTCCTCCATAGACCTGAAGCCCAAAACTCATTATGCCAAACCTGTCCGGCAACATGTCGGGGGGTTGGCTGGGCTGTAGCCTCTTCGCGGACGCCCAAATGCCTCTTGATGCGCGGGGCCGCGCGCAGAAAGACGCGGTTTGGCGACGTTTTCTATCTTCCACCGCATCACAGCCATCGCAAGCGGCCCGCCTTGTCGCTGTGTCACCGGCGCGGCCACAAAAGAAAAGTCGCCTAGGAAGCGGCAGCAGATGTTCAATGTAGGTTAGCTGGAGGGATGTTACCACTAACGCTAGAACTGCTATGTCAGCAATAGGGAGAAACAGAGACGTAACAAACCATGCGACAAGTAACACGTGACAACAAAACAATAATCTCGCAGGAGCACCAGGTGCGATCCACGGGGCTGCATGTCATCAAGCGATGCCATGTGCAAGGGCACATGGCTCGTTGTACCCAGCGGCACAAAGTACCAATCTGTCCCACAGAACGGAGACGAAGTTAGGGTCTCGGGTGTGAGTTGCCGATCTGAGTCTTGCTAGAGAATCATGCTAACTACCTGTGCGCATCTGCACCGAACCTGTTAGAACTCATCCCGTGGCTAACCTCAACCATCGTTTATAACCCATGAACCTGAAGCTTCTGACAAAAAGACCTTCAAGCCTAATAACGGCCTCAAGCTGAAATAAAAAGCAAACCCAACTGGCTCAGCTAAGCTAAGAACAAGTTACACTGAATAACACGTAGGCGTACTTCAAGCTGGAGTTGGGTTTTAAGTTTCGTTGCGGTGAGGGCTCGAAAGACTTACAAGGTATCACAACATCTGTGTGCAAGACGGCTGGCTAAATCAACTTTCTGGCTTTTGCGGCAATATCTGGCTGGAAAGGACCTGTGGACTTTTTTGAGGCGTTTGGAATGCTCTTGCAGTGTGCTTCAAGATTGGCTTCTTTGGCCTAGGTATTCTTTGGAGCGGGTCACGAAGGCTGCTCATGACAGTCTGCAGTTCCGAAAGCTGAGCGGATCTCTAACGAGTTTGTACAGCTGCTCGTGGCCGGTACTCTCATGCGGACACCCCAAAGCCAACACCCGAAGCTCTAAAACTTGTGGAGATCCCGCTTCGTTGGCTCCAGGGTCAAGACCTCAAGGCGAGCTGACGGCCCCGGACGTGATGCCATACAGAGACCCTAACTGGGCCTAACTGGACAAATGGCAAATCCTTGACGAAACACTGCGCTGTTCTCAAACGTCAACCCTATACCCTGAACCGCCTCAAACCTAAACACGTCCTCAACCCTACAGCTTACATCCTGGATGTTCAATCGCAAGCTAGCCTAAGTGAAGACATTCTTGGCCCAATGCAATATCCCTAACCCGACATCTACGGTGTAAAGCCTAGACCCTAGAACCCATCTTCCTTTCAAAAATCAACCTTTTTGTGAGAATGGCCCACCCACCTGGGCGCTTCTTCAGGCCCACCTCGAATGCCTGAGACTCGTGGCTCGAGGCCCTTTCTTTAGGTGCTCGAGCTCAGGGCTTGAGGTGGCTTTGAAAGTCCCCTGCCTTCGAAACCTCATATGCCTCTTGTGGAATGGAACATGGAGAGAAAGTAGTCATCTGCAGCATCCGCAGAGTATGTGGGCAACCACTGCACGAACATACGAGAGAGAGCCCAACGAGTATGCAGCCTCCTGCAGGTAAGATTTAGTTATAGTGCATGGGCCAAGACACCCATTCCACTGACTCGCGGCAAAGCTCGTTCTCCTTGGATGTGGCAGAGAATGGGGTCAATCACTCGCCGACAAACGGTCGCTGACCGAACCCTATAACCTTCCCTTGCGGGTTCGACAGGTTAGACATAAACTTAGCGGAGAAAAATGCTGACTGCTTCGCATCACAAGAACTACGGCGAAATTCATGTTGACTACGTGTTCGATACTCTTCAGATGATGTTGGTGCAACTTGGGCAGCTTGGCGCACGACCCATCTTAGTGCTTTAATGTTGACGCAGAGTTGCTCCGCCAGTTGGTTCCTGGAGCCTAAACTCTCGACTCTAAAGTCTTGGGTAACAGTAGGTTGAAGTCTGGATCTGGCGAGTTCCATTGACAAGGGCTCTTGCGGTATGCTGGAAGTACAGTTCCACTGTCCGCATCGTGCACTCTGCCCTACCGAAGCAAAGCTTCAGGCGACTCCGGGACTTCGGCTTCAAAATATAATATAATATAATATAA